TCAGGAAATAAGGGCCCCCTGTACGGTGATTAAAATCATCTAGAATCATATAAAAAAATGAAAGTGAAAATAAAACTTGTCTATTAACCGATTTCTCAGTGGAAAATGAATATTAATTTAGCATTTGGTTGAATTATCTTCACTTTCAGTAAAGTTAGACATTATTTTAGTGGTTCTTTGTATTCATTTTTTATTTTCAAAGGATTTTTTAAGTTAAAATATGACATTAAATATCAATTCAATTCAATTCAATTCTTTTATTGCAAAAGACATACGTCTTATAGCATTTATACAATATAAACAAAAGAAATAAAGGAAATAATGGCTGGACAGTCTTGTAAACCCTTATGAAACATGCACATATATACATATAAACTCATTTTAACAGTCTTTACAGTTCATATGGAGAATGACATGTAATAAAGCAGATATAATCATATCAATCATATAATAATATAGGAGTAACAAATCAGCAAATGACACACCATTACATTATTAAATCATTTCTAAGAGCGAGGGCTTTATAGATAAATTTCCCTAAACTACATAGTTCTTTTACATTATTCACACTTAGCAACTGCATTATTTTGTACATAGATGGCCTATACCAATAATATTTTTTTCAAAAACTTTGTCCGCAATGTTGAATAAATTGGGCAAACAAGTAAAAAAATGGTATTCATCTTCAATTTCTGTAGTACATATTTTACAGAATCTTTTGTCTCTTGTTATATTTTTATGCCTACCAGTTTCAATAAACAGATTATGCGAAGACAACCTCATTTTAGAAATACATTTTTTGTACACCTTTGGTATCGATTTTTCTAAATAATATTGCAAGCATAAATTGTCAATTAAATGTTTATAAATATAACATTTTGTTTCTATTTGCATTTTGCTATATAGGGTCTGTATGAAGTGATCATTAAGTCTTTGACGAATGATTGGCAGACAGATCCGACTTCAGATTCCTTTGGTCGTTCCACATATACCCAAGGCCCAAACAATGTAATTGCTCCTTGATAAATTTTGCCCAACTTTGATAATTTTGCTTATCATTTTCACAACTACAATAAGACCAATCATAAGCAGCTCTTAATATACAATTTTCAGACTGTAATAATTTAAACCAGAATTTAAACATTCGATAAATACGAATAAGGTACATGGGTAGACGGCCTGTCTCAAAGTACAACATGGACGTGTTTGTAGTTTTACGAACACCAAGTACATATCGTATAAACTCAAGATGAACCTTTTCAATGTCTTGGCCTTTGTGGGATCCCCAAACTTCACATCCATAGTTTAAGATACTACACACATAGGTATCAAAAATAGAAAACAAAGTACAATGATTTAAATAAAGCTGCTTCATTGTTGATTTAAGAGCGAACATAGCCTTGCGACCTTGTGCCGCTAATTGTTTTTGGGCATTAATGAATTTACAGTTATAGTTAAACACAATGCCTAAATAGACAAACTGATCCACTATTTCTATATTTTCACCATTATAAGTCCATTTTTCATTTGCGCGGACTTTCCCACCATTTCTAAAAACAACTTTAGTTTTTGATACATTTACATCTAGACCCCATTCGTGCGTATATATTTCTAGTGTATTTAACATGCTCTGTAATTCATCAATTGATTCTGAAAACAATACCATATCATCTGCATACATTAAAAGATAAAGGCTTAATAGCTGCAAATCAGTAGGCGTGTTACCCTGCTTTATGAACTCATTCTCAAGATCATTAACATATAATACAAACAGCATGGGCGATAAAACTTCCCCTTGTAAAAGACCAACATGACTTTCAAAAAAATTTGATATACGATCAGAGGATTTTACACAGCTTCTAATTCTAGAATACATGGAACGAATAATTGTAAGAAGTTTCCCTTGTATACCATAATACTTCAGTTTTCTATATAATTTTTCCCTAATGATGGAGTCAAAAGCCTTTATCATAAAGACTATACCAAAATAACCGCCCACTTTTTGCAATTTTCTAAGCGCCCGGGGCGGTTAATAGGGATTATACGGTATGTTAAATGGTACTATATGTTTAGAGCGAAACAGAAAAGACCATGTGTTTAACAGATTCATAACTGCATATTAGACTTTAAAGGGATGTGTCAGACACCATACAGTGTGTTATTGACCTAGCGACTTTATATATCGGGCTGCTATTGAACCATAAATGAGATAAAAATTTTCATTTTAATTGTGATGTTCCAATTGGATGACAATAAACATGTAATTGATGAATTTTTAATATATTACAGACAACAGTAAAATACTGAAAAGATTGATTTTTTTTATAATCTGCACAGAATAATTAGAATACCTCAACTGTGAATAAATCAAATGCAATATATAGTTACACTTTTTTTGCATGGACCTCAAATTAATCCCCTAGAAGATTGAACCTTTTGTTTGACCTATGTCTACATTATTTTATGGGATACACTTGGTCTATAAAAGTTGTGTTTACATGTGTCAGAACAAAAACACTGTCTGTGTGTTGTGTTCTGACACATATGTAGAAACTTGTAATGACAATTAGTTTAAATAAAAATAACCTTAAATTACTTACTCAAAATTTAGTAAACCTTCATAAAGATGTCACTAAGCATAAAAAGGACCAGTCGATTCACCTGACTGCGTTACGTAGAATCTGAAATGAGAACGCAATCCGAATTTACTCTGAAAGATTTCGTTGCAAGTTGAATTATCAATAAAAATGTGCATTATAACCACAAAATATGACAAAAAATCAACAAAGCATACATATTTACCATTGTTTCAAAGAAGTATATCACAATCAGCCAAAAGGAAAGTCTAGAACAAACCATAGAAAGGAGCTCTTGCTGACTCGGATTTTTTTTCTGTAACAGGAAGTGCAAGTAGAACCTGGCTAATCGTTTCGTATTCATCCAAGAATCGGGAAATACCTTAAGGATGTATTCTTCTGATACCCGGAAAAAAACGTGCATTAAACTTTCCACGTGCTTATATTTTTCTGAAAGTGTAATATCCAAGGAATAATTTAAAGACAAGAAAAGTGTATGTTAGTGTTCATCTAGGAGAGATTCAACCCCTCAAACATAGGCCAAAATAGAGCATGGGAAATTTCATTAAAATAGCTATTAGACCATAAAAATACCTCATAAACTTATAAATACAATTAATTTAAACATAATTTGGCTTAAATTTACTTGAAAGTATTGCAAAGTTAATTTTTTAAGCAAAATATGAGCAAAAAAACACCAATTAGATAACTTGTACCCAAAAATGTTGTACACCGGTGTCAAAATTAGGCAAATTTTTCCCATAAAATTGCTCAAAAAACCAGAGAAAAACATATTTCTACAATTAAACTTTTTGAGAAAATTGTTGTACAGTTTCTTTAGGTATTATGGTTCCTTTTCATAGTATGAAAAGTAGGGGTTAGTGTACATATAAGAAAGTTTTGATATTTTTTTTAATATCCCCACCCCCTATTTCTTTTTTAGCATTTAATGAAATTAAATCAAAGCATTTAGGCTTCAAAGTATGCGTTTTATTCACCAAATATTCAAAATTTGTGCGATAATTTCAGGTAATAATTGCAATTTTGTTTAGAAAAGCTTTTATGAACAAAAAGTAATTATTTAACACATAAAACTTCATAATTATAGTTTGTTAGATGTCCTCTCTTTCCCTTGCCCTGCGGGTTCTGGTTTGTGGTGTTGCATGGTGGCTTCCCTTCCAGTCCCACTTTCTCAATCTGATTTGCATGGTTTTCTCCATCCAATTTTAGTGGTTCTAAAAACCTGCTATCTTCTAAAGTGCTTCATTTGTGATTCTTGTGACAACAAGACTTATCTGAAAAAAAATTATTTTAGAAAAAAAAATTATAAATACTGGTTATTTCATTGTTTAAAAAATGTAAAATCATTATTTTGTCTATCTGACTTTGTTTTTATGAACCCAAGCCTGTAGTTTACAATCAAATAATTTCTGTATGTTCTATAATGTTTCGGAAATATTCTTTTTTTTAACCCGAATAGGCTGCCATAGAAGGAACGACCTAGTTTCTTATCGAATGTAAACAGCAAAAAAAAAATAGAGATGTTACCTTATTGTTTTCGTACGGTATGTCTATAAATTTGGGATTCTGCATTTACAATATCAAATGAAATTTATCATATACTACGAGCTAAAGTTGCAATAAAAAGTATAATACAAATGCTGTCGTCTGCACAAATCTGAAAACGTTCCGTACAAATATGTGACATGTTTTAAAAATGCAATGTTTCAGATTGCAATGTGACAGTATACTAGGTATTTTAAAACTTTTGTATCTATAATGCATAAACATTGCTATATTCAATAAGTTAGAAAGCATTGAAAACCTTTATTTTCGCTTGTCCACTGCTACTGGAACGTCGTCAACACACATCGGCGCTCTAGGCTGGCATGTTTGGGGCGCCGCTTTCGAGAATGTAAATGGTCTGATTGTGATGTCGGCGATATTTAAAATGTATTCAAATTTCTGTCGACTCTTTTAACGAGAATACTTTTAACAGAGTGTCATTCGGCATTCCTGTCGCTTTGAAAGGGGCGATCCCGTCTTCTTCCTCTCTTGATCATGTCGATTTCACTTCTTAGGCCTATGTCGTAAATATCGTAATTTTGCACACGTCTTGGTCATCAATACAACATAGAAAGATTTTTTATTTAAAAATAAATATAGTTAAACATTTGAATAATAAAAACTTTTTAAAATTGTTTGTGAATTGTTATCAGTTTGAATTTTACGACATGTCTAAGTACGAAGACCCACTTGGGGTAAAATGATCATAAGAATTCATCCTTAATCTTTGTAATATTAGTCGTTCAAATTTTTATCTTAAAAATGCATCTCCACTTCAAAGACGAACGCAGATGGCTAAGTGATATAAATTTACTTTATGGAACCAAAGCTAGTTCTTTTATGGAATGCCGTACGTCACAAATTACGTCATCATGCGACTTAGAGAGCAGAAAGAAAGAAAGAAAGAGCAGAATGTTTTCAACTCCATATTTTCTGTAAGTTTGTAAGATTCTCATCTTCTTTTTATATCAGACGGATGTAATAACTTTATTTGGGAATATTTGTTGACAGCTTAATAACAGATATGAGATTCAAGTGGATCTAACATTATCTATGGTAACGCATAACGTTATGTGTTGAAAATGAAAGATGGGCCTAGTACAGGTTCTCTGCTTTTCTTACAATATTATTGGCCCATTGATAGGCCTAATGTTTTAATGTGTTTTTGATTCCTGTTGCATTGGGATCTAGTATATAAAATTAAACTGCAGCAATCAAATAACACAGGTAGCATTTGGGGGGGGGGGGGGGGTGTAGATAGAATGTTGATGTTCTATCGTTAAAATGATAAAAATTAATGTCCTACGTACCCGGTGATGGCTTAAGATTATTCTAACTACGGTGGTAAATTGCAACCCTCCCTTTTGGATTTTTAAAAAAAAAAAAAAAAAAGGAATAAGAAGAATTAAGTTCCAAATTTTTGTTTGTTTGTGTTTTTACCATAGAAAATGTTCAGTGAAAAGCTAATGTTGTAGGATAGGATTCTCAGGTTCTGAGACCAATATTTTCCTTTCTTTTTCAAAAACTTTTCAGGTAATCCATACAAATATTTTTCCTAGTTTTATATCATCCTCCTCTTTTAAAAACCATACCCCACCCGGTATCCTTTTGAGTTATTTATAACTACATGCAGGTGTAAAATGTACATTATAATACCCCCCCCCCCTTTGAAAAAACCCTTCCATCCCTCAACAACAAAAAAAAAAAACCACTGTCCTGTCCACAAGTACCTGTGCATGTGCATTCCAAAATGTATGCAAATATAAAGAGGCTTACTTACATCTGGAATGCAAGACAGAAAGTCCTAGTCACTTCCCTAAAATGAGTCGTACTGTACATATATTTACAAAATATTCATCAATTCGAAAATATTTATTAAATGTTGTATTCTATACTCACAGGTATAATTTGCTGGTTATAAGCAGATCTATGCACGGCACTCCATTATACCACACTGATAGCTTCTCAAAGATTATAAATATGATACATGTAAGCAGGTAAGAAAAAAAATCTAAGAGAGAAATATTTTTTGCAGAGCCTGTGGTATACATTGTTTGTTATTACGTGTATAACAATCAATAACAATTTTGTTATTACGTGTATAACAATTTTGTTATTACATGTATACATGTAGCAAAACCTTAACCATTCAGCTTATATTTGCTTATCTTGCATTTCTTTAATGTAAATACATGTATATATAATCTTCGTTAATTTATAGAATACATGTTTTTAATTTAAATAAAGTGACAAAGAGATAATGAACTAAATGTTAATGAACCTACAGTACCTGACATTTCTGAGTTTCTCTGTAGGCACAGTTACTTGTCATCACAAGGATCAGATTTCAAGTGCCAGAGTAGTCATAACTCCTAAATTTTCCCAATTTGTCAAAAGTACATGTAAGTATTTTATAATATTTTTTGTTAGCTCACCTGAGCCGAAGGCTCAAGTGAGCTTTTCTGATCAAAGTTTGTCCATTGTCTGTCTATTTTTGTTGTTGTTGTCATTAACTTTTCACATTTTCGACTTCTTCTCAAGAACCAGTGGGCCAAATTCAACCACACTTGGCACAAAGTATCTTTAGGTGAAGGGGATTCAAGTTAGTTCAAATGAAGGGCCATGCCATATCAAAGGGGAGATAATTCAGAAATAATGAAAATTTGATGGTATTTAAAAATCTTCTTCTCAAGAACCACTGTGCCAGGAAAGATGAATCTTACAGAGAAGCATCCTCAGGTAGTGTAGATTCAAGTTTATTCAAATCATGACCCCCAGGGGAAGGGCGGGTCCACAGTGGCCAATCAAAGTTTTACATAGAAACCCTTCGGGCTTTATGGAATTTAATCTCATGACCAATTATGACTAAGCTGGGAATATTTCATTGAATTTTTCTCACCTAAGCCAGAAGCTTAAGTTAGCCCTTTTTATGCCCCGTAAACAAAGTGTTGGGGTACAGTTTATAGTTTTTGTCATGTCCGTCTGTCTGTCTGTCTCTTTGTCTGTCTGTTTGTTCTCAAAAACTTTAACCTTGCCCATAACTTTTGATTTATTGGAGCCATGACTTTCATATTTCACATGTGTATTCCTTGTGACAAGACCTTTCTTTGGGTACTACCAAATTTGACCTCTCGACCTTGGAGTTTGACTCACTTTTACATGATAATTTTACACTTTTACTTTGGCCATATCTTTTGAACAGTAGACACCAGGACATTTATACTTCACATGTGTATTTTTTATTGAAAGACCTTTCACTGGATACCAACAACATTGACCCTTTGACTTTGACCTAGTAGATTTCTGTACCTGTGCAAAACTTGATTCTTGGCCATAACTTTTGAACGGTAAGGGATACGGTTTTCATACTTCACATATGTAATCCTTGTGAGAAGACCCTTCATTGGATACCAAGCACTTTAACCCTTTGACCTTGACCTTTGAGTTTGACCTACTTTAAAAGACAAGCCTTGACCATAACTTTCAAAGGGTTAGGGCTAGTGCTTTCATATTTTACATATTTAATTCTTGTGACAAGACCATTTATTTGATAACAAGAACTTTGACCCTTTGACCTTGACCATGGAGTTTGACCTACTTTTAAAAGAAAATTAACCTTTGCCATAACTTCTGAAAGGTTAGGGCTAGGGCTTCCATTTATTATTATTAGTGCATAATATTTCCATGACGGTTTAAATAGTAAAAAAAATTCAAACTTATTCCTTTAAAAAGTTGAACTTTGAAGATATAAAATTCATGACTAGTCTTAATAATATTTTTAGATTTATTTCTGTTCTTTGCTTTACAGAGATCTTTCGCTGATGGACTCAAATTGTTCAGGAAAAAATCCAGCTACCACAGCCACAGATTTCTGGCGTGTGTTCAGAAGGAACATAGATGCAATGGTAGGTAAATTTTGCTTTTAAATTCCCTTGCAACAGATACAAATTGCATCATCAGATATAGGTCAATGAAACAGAGACAATTATCTCAAGGTTTAATTGATACCTGACACAAGATTGTTTTTAAGTTTAAAGTCATTTGCAGGAAAATTGTTTTCATTTTTTGTCAATAATTTTATACTTAAGAAACATTATAATTATACTAGTACTTTTAATTATGATTTATGATGTATGGTTTTGAAATCATAATAATTTATGATGTATGTTTTTTAATTTTTTAAAGATCATTTACAATGTAGGCAATATAAATTCAACGTTTTACCAAATTGAACTTAGGGATGATATGAGATTGCTATATCTACTTTTGTTCATATTTTATGTTATCTTGATAAGTAGGGAAATATTGACTTTGGAAATGCAGTTGTAAAATTCATGACTGTATTTCATTTACCGGTACCCAGTATTCATTACAATTATTTTCTCTTGCAGATGAAACAATCTCCAGACAGATGGGTGGCCCTTGAGCAGAGAATGTTAAAAAGAATCAAAGCATTCAATTAAGACGATTAAGAAACAGAATGTGTCCAGTTGTTTGTTCATCAAAAGAATAACTTGGATAATCATAGTGGTGCTTCCTCAAAATCTGCATGTGTTAAAATTAAGCAGTTTCAAATTAAGATTTAGATAAAGCTCATTAAGTCATTTGCTGGATCAGATTTTGAGATTGTACTTATTGCATTTTTTTGAATACAGTAACAGTGAAACGTTGATGATTAGTTGTACAAATTCATATACAGATCTAAGTATTAGAATTTCCTAATACTTTTCATCAAATGGATTAAAAGAATTGAAAGTCCAATATACTAGGAAAAATATATAAATTACATCACATGGATTTGATATGAATATATCATGATATTTACATGAAATTCGCATGAAATTCATATGAAAATCTGTAAAGAAAGCAGCAAAAATATTCATATGAATTTCGTGCGAATTTTTATTCGCATGATATTCGTGCGAATTTCATGTCAAAATCGCATGATATTTTCATGCGAATATCATGTGTGGTCCTTTTCTTCTCCTTTTCATGCGAAGAATTCGCACGATATTCATGCGAATTTCATATGAAGTTCATGCGAGCCACTTTTGTCTGTGTAACTTAGCCTTTACAACCACATGATTTGACAAATTTTAAAGGAGAAAATAAATCATATTTCACCACCCCTGTTGATTTTAATAACAGTTATTGTGACATTGTCGGTATCCGCTGCTATGATAAGCATTCATTTAGTCCACTTTAATTATAACACACAACACTAACTTTGCTATGTTATATTTATAGTAACTGGGAACTTTATGTTTAATGTATGATTTAGATGAATGTTAAAGTTAGAAGATTTTTGAATAAAATGGTAATCCCCGAGGAGATAGAGAAACAAACTGTCTTACTGCCAAATCAACAAACATTCCAACTTTGAAATCAATTGTACCACCATGAAAAAAGTTTTTCAGAAAAACAGAATATTTGTAAATGGAAAAACATCCAAAGAATCCTACGATTCTCGGGTGATGACCCTCCTCTAAAGGATGTTTCATACAAAGACTGGGGGTTTGAAGTACAGTGCCTTATGAAATTTTTCAATGTATTTCCACAATCAGGTTAGCGTACATCTTTTGGATGTAAACTTGAAACAATGCTACAGAGGCGGCCCCATATTATCACTGTGTTCCAGGATAATTAAGAAGAATTATTCTAATTCAAAAGAGAGAGCGAATCAAAAAAATCCATCCAACAGACTACAAGAAAAGAATAACAGACAAGGTTAATTTAAAAATGTAATAGATGACAGACTGTGTTTTTCTCCTCCTGCGACATATGTCCAGGAGACAAAATAACATACAGCTACAATAAGGGGCAGAGATGCACCTACCCATGGAGGCAAAAGAATAAAGTGAGATTTTTGGTTACAATAGACAGTAGATCATTACTTATTAATTAATCCGCGTGCTTGAATATCAATTTAAATTTTCTACATATAAACATATTTTTCATCATTACAGATCATGGAAAAAGAGATATTAAAGTACCCAATCATCCGACTGGAAAGATGCGATATGGTAATGTTTAAAGAAAGAGATTTTTGGTTACTATAGACAGTAGACCATTACTTATTAATTAATCCGCGTGCTTGAATATCAATTCAAATTTTCTACATATACGAGGGTTGTCCCAAAAAGTCGTAGAAAGGTTTAACAGTTTTGTTTCTCTTTGCTTTATTAAATTTCTTTCCTTGTCAGAGCAAAGAGTAACATTTTATGATCATGCACTATAAGTTTCATGATGATATCACATCTTATAAGAAAATTATGAAAAAATAACGAAAGAATATAAGGGTACACCGGCGCACAAAAGCAAGCGTAAATTACGTCTTTTATAACGTCATTATCTCTTTGTCTACTTCACTAGCGGGTATTAACATTCAATGATTTTTTTAAGTGATAGACCACTCTTGACTAACGGACATATTTAAATTCATTACTGTCTATTTGTTTTTTACTTGTTTTTTTTTTAAAGCAGATTCAAATTTCAGTCGAAATTTAGTCGAAAGATTGCCTTAAATTGAAGGCAGCAGAGAATACAAATTGTTTGACGTCGTTCGCGGTCCAGATTTTTCCAAATTGTCTGCGTTTATCAAGCAGTACTCTACTTCTTACATGCCGTAATTAACTATTATTGGTAAAGAAGAAAAACTCTCATTGAAAATCGTGCAATTTAAAAATAACTTCTTTATTGACATCTGGTGTCTAATGTCACTTCTGTACATATTTTACCCGTCTCTGATGTATATTAACCATATCCAACACAATTTATTACATCTCCGTGCGCCGACTACGCGTTTGACGACGTCATTTTCATCAAACTCAATTTCAACGATACTATGAAAATCATGACACCAATCGCGTGTTTCTAATGATATTTATATGAAATTTTGATATAATATTAAGATTTTTATTCTGGTTTCAGTAATTTAAATTTAAGTTCAATGTATTATATAGTACTAAAGAAATAAAAGCAAATGTAATAGTTATATGCGTAAATTATTCAGAATTTTGTCCGTGCGCCGACAGGCCTTATCGGCCTTCATATAAATCGTCCTAATATTATTAATATGAAAGATATATTTTTAAAAATTCACAATTTTAAAGAACATTGACTATATCATGTCTTTGCAAAATTTGGTATGTATTGGTTGCATGATTAAAAAATTATAAACATTGTCTACGACTTTTTGGGACAACCCTCGTATACATATTTTTAATCATTACAGGTCATGGAAAAAGAGATGATATTAAAATACCCAATCATCCGACTGGAGCGATGCGATATGGTAATGTTTAAAGAAAGAGATTTTTGGTTACTATAGACAGTAGACCATTACTTATTAAAAACAAAATACGGTATTAGCAGTAGTTGGCCGGAAAAATTACTTGGAGGACGCTGCTCGTGTCATTGATGCGACAGACAGTGAAGAAAGTGAAACTGAACAGTAAAACTTTCAAGTATAGTCGTTGTTATTGATACTGATGAACATTGTTTATACAGGGTGTTTCATAATATATGTTACATTTTGAATCTTCAATTTGACAAACACAAGAAAAAGATACTGATAAGTCTTTTTATCAAATTGATGTATGTATCCATAAGATTCATTAAATATAATAACAAACTAAAATATTTAACATTGAACAAAATCTTACATATTAATGAAAATAAGGGATATTTCCAACATGCGTCATTTTTTGCTACCTACGTTGAATTTCACGACGTCAAAAACTCACATTACATGTTCTAAATGATCTCCATTATTTCAACAACAAAAAACATTGCTTCTTGAAATTTGTATAGAGTATAACCTTGTCAAATAAGATACTAATGAGATATATTATCTTTTTTGAGAAAACAGTTTGTTACATGTAGAAAATCTAAAAGGGAAGCAATTCTTTTACATAGGGAGTATAATAATCCCTTTTCGTCTAATATCTTTGATATCCTGAAGGTTTCTTCAAATCCAACTGCAAAGGAATAGTTTTATTCTGTTCATTTTTAATAGAAATCCGTTAGCGCATATTATAAAATATTTAATCATTTTTTCTAGTATGGCTCTTTGGTAATATGTTTATGTAGTTTTGTTATTGCATTGACACCCCTATGTTTTTATTTTACCTGAAGTTAACTCAGGAATAAGAAGAATTTACAATTGTCAAAACCATTATAACTATTTAGAACATACCATACTTTGATTACGTTAATATAAATCTGCCTAAACTAAAAAAAGATTAAAAGAAAATATTATAGATGCCATGCACTTCTCTTGAAATTATATGATTGATTTTACATGGAAAATATGAACTACGCATTTAAAAGAAAATTTCATTCGGTCATGTAAATAAGAACGGCAAATGCAATAATTTCAGGACTTAAACACAATCAATATTTTAGAAATAATAATAACATAACAAGCCAATCGTTTTGCAGGAATAGATAATAATTTGATATTTAAACTCGTCGGTTGACGGATAAATTTTAAACTCTCACAGAAACACTCCAAATACACATAGAGACTACAAAATGTGCAGTCTTGGTATTGTTTGTTTAATGGCCTCTATTTTTACAGTTACTCGTGCTACCATTTCCTCCTTGAGATATATCGCGAAACTGGAACTCGATAACAAGATGTCTGATGAGGAACTTGTAGGAGAACACGGAGCCCAATCTTTAAGTGAATGTGCTGCCACCTGTCAGAAAGATTGCGGTTTCTTCGGGTACAATCCTACGCTGAAGAGGTGCCGGACCCACAAGAAGACGTTCACTTCCGGAATGTCGGACGAAAACGGATGGCAGTATTATTTTCCGGACTGTATGTATTAGTTTTTATTTAAGTTTTTAATCTTCCTTAATTTGTCACAGATAAAAAGATTTATTTTACGTAATTTCGATTGTTTATTCTTTAAAGTCGTCTCAAGCATTGTACTGAGAAGATAACTAAGTTATTTATTCATTGTTTAAGTTATAATCTTATGAATTCTTAGTTTGGTTTTGCGTTCTTCCTTTAGATGGTCTAAATCTGAATCGTAAATAATTCTCAGTTGTGATTTATTTTTTGTTTCATTTTATGTTTTAAAAATTCTATATAATTCTCTCAATAGTTCTTTAGTCCCCCCCTTTATTTATTATAAGTCAAAATCCTATATGATTCCCACTTCTGTGCTTTAGTTTTCCCTTTATAATATGTAAGTGCTTATCCTATATAATTCTCAATTTCGGTCTTTAATTTTTCCTTTATATTATGTAAATCCTAATCCTTTAAAATTATCACTTTTGTTTTCTAGCTCTCCCTTCAGATTGTAAGGAACTTCGTGACAATGGTTATGATAAATCGGATGTGTACGATATTTACCCATACGGGATAAAGTCCATTCCAGTCAAAGTTCACTGTAACATGGATATAATGGGCGGCGGGTGGACGGTAAGATTTATTTAATTTTTAGTTTTAAATCCGGGTTTTTTTTATATATGGGGACGATATTGTGATATTTATATTGTGTCTCTTCCAGGATATTGAATCCATTTTTTTCTTATTCATTAATTGATATTCTGCTATCACCTTCATTTGGTGTTTTCATTTTCCAAACGTATGTGATACGCAAGAGCATGATCAGATTAGGTATGATTTTTAGTGTTGAGGCAGAATACGGAAAAATAAAAAAATGTTACAGGGATCTTAAAACCCGGTTTAATGTCAATTTCAGTATTTCGCAAAATTCTCTGCTCGTCTTTATGACCTTGTTAATAAAAGTATCAGTGGGTCGTTTTTTTGCTGTTTCTTTCATATCCATTGTAAGATCGTTATATACAAAATAGGACCACAGAATGTTACATCTATCTGTTTCATAGACAGAATCACGGCGCGCTACCACAGCAAGAGTCCTGATCACACCTCTGGAATTTGCGGGGGTGTGCTTTATGCCCTGTTTACAGATATTGATTGGTTGTTGCATTTTTATAAGATCACAACTCGTAATATGTATATTTTCATTCAATCAAAATGGATGACAAATCTAAAAATCATACCCATCGCTATAAAGTTTTTATTTAAACAGCAAGCAAACTAGCCTAATAAATGTACCTACACTTTTCCAAGGCAATCCAAAAACGAATCGATGGGTCCGTCAGCTTTGACATGAACTGGACAGACTACAAAAATGGTTTTGGTGAACCGGAACAGGAAGTTTGGATTGGTAAATATGAGCTGATATTGGGACATTGATTTATTTAAAAAAATGACCAAAGATCTTTATAAACATATGAACTTGGGAAGCAATTTAAAAATCATTATTTTTGCAGAAAAAAGTTTAAGACTTTAAATATTAAGATCAAACGTCGTTAAGGAATGTTTGTAAGTTTTGTGTGATTGATAGGTGTGTGAAGAATATGGAAATAACGAACAGTATTCAATAATATACAAAATAAGAGCAGAGCAAACACGGACCTCCGAAACATCAGAGGTGGGATCAGGTGCCATGGAGGAATGAGCTTGTCACGTAGGAATATGTCTGCGTTATATGCACACCCATAATTCACGCTAAACTTATAAACATTCCTTACATTTACATTTTCTGTGTATTAAAGCATCAAAAATAAACTCAATATTTGAATTTCGCGCTGCCCTATTTCGTTGCATTTTTGTGACGTCTCTGTAGCCTCATTGTGACGTCAAGTTAGCACAGGTTTTTCCGTGAATATTTCTTCGTATGATTATACACAGAAATGGTGTTCAAATCAGTTTCAGTGTTGATTACTAGAAAAACACAGCAAATATAAATACATATAAATAAAGCATGATGAAGAGCAGATTATAGATATCTACATCTGCATTCTTTAAACAATGTCAAAAGCATGCATTTTAATATGATACATGTATATAAAATGATATAGAATTTGACGATGTTTTTTACGAAAATCTCAAGATTGTTTGATTCCCTTGGGTTATTTCTACTTAACAAAAGTATTATTATACACATAATTGTTGATTTTGAATGTATCTTAAAACAGGAAACTAATTCGATTTCTCATTTAGGTATGATTAAATTCAAATATGAATCGATGGATTTTTCTTATACAGGAAATGACGTTATCCATCAATTAACAAAAGAAAACAACTCGTCCCTGTATGTGTCCATCACTCTCCAGAATGGTACAACGCTGTATGAAATGTACGGCGGATTCTCTGTCTCCGACGAAGCAGGAAAATATAAACTCTTTCTTGCAGGACCTGCCACTGGAACTTTAGGTAAGTGTATCCACGTTAAGTTCATAAAATTAGGTCCAAATTACGCATATTATCATCATAATACTTTTCTGTATTGAAATATTATTAAGTTGTTAAAAAAGACAAAGATACGTTTTGATATTCTGTATACTTTTTTGATTCCATGCTAATTAAACATTGTAATATTTCAGAGTATTATTTGCAGTATAATTCACGTATTCAGCTGACATTGAAGTTATTGATTTATAATGCCGACATCTTCACAAAAATCTGATGTTCAAAGAAAATTATTTAATCGGAAACATATTCAAATTAAAACAAAAAGCCGTATTCAAAACATCTCAATACCAGTCACGGTAGCCCAGTGGTAGAGCGTTCGCTTCGTGATCGGGAGGCCCGGGTTCGATTCTCGTTCGCGGCGCCGCGTCATACCTTAGACGTAAACAAAGGTAGTGACTGTTCCTTCGCCAAGCGCTCGGCATCAGAAGTGAAAGTCACGGTTCTTTCGGATATGACCTTAAAAACGTAGGTCCCGTGTCACGGTACAAATGTAGACGCTGGCACGATAAAGAACCCTCGCTCAATGGCCCTGAGTTCCGAGTAGGACTGAAACGATATACCCCCTCCACGATACGATACATATTGCAATACTTGTGTCACAATTCAATTTTTTCGATACAATACATTTTAAAAAGGGAACATATCATTAGGTTAAAGAAAACATGTATTCAGATTCCAAAAGATACATAAAAGGTTGTAATACAAGGAGAAAACACTTTTGTGCTTCTGCCAATTATAATAGCACATTGTTTGTGTCAAATCTAGCAGTAGCAGCCTGTGCTAAACTTTTCTGTCTCAATTATCTCTCCCTTGAGTGTCAAACTGTCAAAATGAGGACAAAGCCAGTCATTTCAAGGGGTAATCTAACCTGATTATAAAAAAATGTATTGAATTGAAAATTGAGGTAGTGAATTGAATTGAAGAATTATATTGAACAATATCGATATTTCTATGAACTGTTTCAGCCCTAGTGCCGAGTATAGGTCTAAGTTTGAAGCCCTTCACCGGCATACGGTGACGTCTTCATATGAGTGAAAAATTCTCAAGAGGGACGTTAAACAATATACAATCAATCAATCAAAACATCTCAACGTGTTCCACATTAACTGTACCGTTTCTCTATGAAATGAAAATCTAGTCTGATTTTCAATAATTGACATTTTTACTTCTACGGAATAAGAAGTTTACAGAGCGTCACTAATCTTAAATGTCGAAAAGTTTACGAAAATTTTATGATAAAAAACCTATCGGATATTTATTCAAATAAAAAAAAGTTCAAAAAGTCCTCAAAGCATTTTACATTTACAATATGTATGATTTATTTAATGGAAATCTTACATTTCAAAACATTTACAGGTACACCATATCTTATATCGTTATAATTATGGATGAGTTACTACGTATTGCATTTCATATATTTTGAAAAGCACGGTCTCTGTTATACTCATGTTTTCTGATATTTCCAGTGATCTTACCCCCCCCCCAAAAAAAAAAAAAAAAAACAAACAAACATGCTTTAAAAGTGTACACGCCTGAGGTTTATTGTCACACTAGAAAAGAAGCTGTGAATTGCGCAATGTTTTGTTGACTTGTATTTTTTATTTCTCTTCAAACTAGACAATACTTTTAACTGTGTATCTCGTATCTCAGACGTTTTTCAGTATTAAGATTAATGGGATGTAAATTAATGAATAATACTAATCATTTCTGTTCTATTTTTCCTTTCATTTTTCTAGGACTTAATTAAATAAATATTGATCTTTCCAACCCTAAAGCCGTCTATCTTAGAACTACCTCAGTATTATTAATGAAAATTAGATAGAATATTTATACATCCATTATGTCTGTGATTCCTTTTGTTTAATTTTACAGGAGACAGTATGTACGACACAGGTGATAGTTGGTACGATCTGTCTGGGATTCCTTTTGTTTAATTTTACAGGAGACAGTATGTACGACACAGATGATAGTTGGTACGATCTGTCTGGGATTCCTTTTGTTTAATTTTACAGGAGACAGTATGTACGACACAGGTGATAGTTGGAACGATCTGTCTGGGATTCCTTTTGTTTAATTTTACAGGAGACAGTATGTACGACACAGATGATAGTTGGTACGATCTGTCTGGGATTCCTTTTGTTTAATTTTACAGGAGACAGTATGTACGACACAGGTGATAGTTGGTACGATCTGTCTGGGATTCCTTTTGTTTAATTTTACAGGTGACAGTATGTACGACACAGGTGATAGTTGGTACGATCTGTCTGGGATTCCTTTTGTTTAATTTTACAGGAGACAGTATGTACGACAAAGGTGATTCTTACTACGATCTGTCTGTGATTATTTTTGTTTAATTTAACAGGTGACAGTATGTACGACACAGGTGATAGTTGGTACGATCTGTCTGGGATTCCTTTTGTTTAATTTTACAGGAGACAGTATGTACGACACAGGTGATAGTTGGTACGATCTGTCTGGGATTCCTTTTGTTTAATTTTACAGGAGACAGTATGTACGACACAGATGATAGTTGGTACGATCTGTCTGGGATTCCTTTTGTTTAATTTTACAGGAGACAGTATGTACGACACAGGTGATAGTTGGTACGATCTGTCTGGGATTCCTTTTGTTTAATTTTACAGGAGACAGTATGTACGACACAGATGATAGTTGGTACGATCTGTCTGGGATTCCTTTTGTTTAATTTTACAGGAGACAGTATGTACGACACAGGTGATAGTTGGTACGATCTGTCTGGGATTCCTTTTGTTTAATTTTACAGGTGACAGTATGTACGACACAGGTGATAGTTGGTACGATCTGTCTGGGATTCCTTTTGTTTAATTTTACAGGAGACAGTATGTACGACAAAGGTGATTCTTACTACGATCTGTCTGTGATTATTTTTGTTTAATTTAACAGGTGACAGTATGTACGACACAGGTGATTCTTACTACGATCTGTCTGGGATTCCTTTTGTTTAATTTTACAGGAGACAGTATGTACGACAAAGGTGATTCTGACTACGATCTGTCTGGGATTCCTTTTGTTTAATTTTACAGGAGACAGTATGTACGACAAAGGTGATTCTTACTACGATCTGTCTGTGATTATTTTTGTTTAATTTAACAGGTGACAGTATGTACGACACAGGTGATTCTTACTACGATCTGTCTGGGATTCCTTTTGTTTAATTTTACAGGAGACAGTATGTACGACAAAGGTGATTCTGACTACGATCTGTCTGGGATTCTTTGTGTTTAATTTTACAGGTGACAGTATGTACGACACAGGTGATAGTTGGTACGATCTGTCTGGGATTCCTTTTGTTTAATTTTACAGGAGACAGTATGTACGACACAGGTGATAGTTGGTACGATCTGTCTGGGATTCCTTTTGTTTAATTTTACAGGTGACAGTATGTACGACACAGGTGATTCTTACTACGATCTGTCTGGGATTATTTTTGTTTAATTTTACAGGAGACAGTATGTACGACACAGGTGATAGTTGGTACGATCTGTCTGGGATTCCTTCTGTTTAATTTTACAGGTGACAGTATGTACGACAAAGGTGATTCTTACTACGATCTGTCTGGGATTCCTTTTGTTTAATTTTACAGGAGACAGTATGTACGACAAAGGTGATTCTGACTACGATCTGTCTGGGATTCCTTTTGTTTAATTTTACAGGAGACAGTATGTACGACAAAGGTGATTCTTACTACGATCTGTCTGGGATTCCTTTTGTTTAATTTTACAGGAGACAGTATGTACGACACAGGTGATAGTTGGTACGATCTATATGGGATTCTTTGTGTTTAATTTTACAGGTGACAGTATGTTAGATACAGGTGATTCTTACTACGATCTGTCTGGGATGTACTTTAGTACCCCAGACAGAGACAACGACCGATACGACATAAACACTGGACACTGTGCTCATTTCTACGGAGGAGGCTGGTGGTTCAACCACTGTTACCACGCCTTCCTTAACGGTCCCTGGGCCCCGAAGTTCTGGATTAGACCATGGTATCCTACAGTTAGTTTGGGGATGATTGTAAGGGGTACCACCATGATGATCAGACGTCACTAGGTAAAACTCATCAAATCTTAATAACTTTTTGTTTTTATTTTTATATTACTGTGAAAATTTTAATTATAATATTTTTTAAATAGAAAAAATATGCTATCATACATTTATCTGTCAAGTATTAAATTAATGTTTTTTTTACAGACGTAAGATCATCGATGGATTATGCAAACCCTCAAGAGACGATTTTAAATTATTTTTTATCGCTAAGTTCTTTTTAGTCCCCTACCGGTGAAACCGGAGGGGACTATAAGTTTCCTCTGCGTCCGTCCGTCTGTCTGTCTGTCTGTCCCCGTCAGTCTGTCCCACTTGGTTTTCCGCACTTTTTTTCTAAACGCTTGCAGATATTGAGCTGAATTTTGGTACGTGAGTGTATCTTAATGAGTTGCAGATCATGTTTGAATTTCGTTTCGCTTCATTGATTTTTGACAGAATTATGGCATTTTGAATATTTTTCATTCCCACTTGGTTTTCCGCACTTTTTTTCTAAACGCTTGCAGGTATTGAGCTGAATTTTTGTAAGTGAGTGTATCTTAATGAGTTACAGATCAAGTTTGAACTTCGTTTCGCTTCATCGATTTCTGACAGAATTATGGCATTTTGAATATTTTTCATAATCGCTTAATTAAGATCGGGTTCGAACTGCGCTAACTTTCGATTGTCGACAAAAATATGAAGCGAGGAAAAGACGATGGATAAATGAGTTGAATTGTCGTCTTAAAGTTTAGTATTTTATTAGATTTAAGGCATTTACAATTTGAAAATCTTTCAGTTTAACCTTGGACATGACTTTTGCACATTAAAAAATGACATCCTGAAGAAAAAGGGGAACCCGGTAGGGGACATGTATTGCTTTTGCAATACTCTCAGAATGCTTGTTTTTTTTTTAAATATTTAACACATATTTAAAGATATGTTATCGGTAAAAGAAGGGGTTGAACTGCTCTGTAAAGCGAAACTGAATGTAAAAGATTTTCTTCATATGTATTGTAATAAATTTGAAATATTTCGTTGTTATTTAAAAATACTGATAAACGGACATGTTTGTACGGATAATTAGGAAGTAGATTGCTTTGTTCTTAAACCTATTACAGTGGAACATGTTTAATTCGACACATTTGTTTGCAATATGTTTACTGTGGTGTCCGCCATTCAATATCATTCCTCATTTATACTTATGTCAATAATCTTTACACGCTGCAATACCACACCTTGTTTATTTCGTTACATACATTCGTAATTTCTCTTCAAGGCGCATGAAAAGGCGACAAAAAAGACCACGCATGAAATTCATATGAATGTTTTTGCTACGTTCTTTACAGATTTTCATATAAAAAATATATGTTGTGAAATGGGTTTCATCTGCACAGAAAAAATGCATTTTGTTTTGATAAAAAATATTATACTATTGTAAGCTTGTTTCTAATATCAAAATTGTCTCTGATATATAAACAGATTTGTTTCGTAGATATAAAGTTATGTGGATCAAGCAAACACGATAAGTTATTAACATCTAGTAACCTTGAATGCTTTTTTCTGACATTTTTATACACAGGACAATCAAGTAAAGAGTGTTTTACATCCTCAAGTATAGTTGGAAACAAAATCTGCTTTCTCTAGGAATGACAGGATTACAGTATCTACTTGTTTCTACGTACATCTTATGTGCATTTATTCTTAACTTCGTTAGATATGATAATAAATTCTTATGAAAAGGAAAACACAAGTATGGTTGGATTTTCAGTTTCTTATAATGAATAATGTACGCACTATAAAATGACAGCTTACCGCATTGATTATAATTAATGTGTTGGGGTTCAGGAAAAAAAAATTATGTTCAAAGAAATTTTTAAGATTAGGACTAAAAGTTTTAAAATCTGTGTCAAAGTTATAATCTAACATCTTCTGTATTGATTTTACACACCTTTGCAAACATTTTTTTTTCACTAGCCATTCGAGTATCTACCAAGTAAGCATTCTTGAGTAAGACATTGCAATTATTATATTTTTTTTGTTAATTTTTTCAATCTGGAATAATATTTAAAAACAAGCTGGTAAATTTTGGTATGTACAGGGAAAACACCTAATTCAATCTTATTTGCTAAATTTGATGCTTTACTATGGACACCTAAGATGTTTTCAAAGATAAAATTTTGGATTTTTTCAAAAGGAGTTTTATCAAAATTATTAGATTTGTTTTAAAATCAGAGATCCAAATTTCTGAAGAGTATGTTAAAATTGGCACAATAATTGATTCATATAGTTTTAACCACAAGCTGGGGGAGAGATTTGAGCCAAAGGGTAGTTTATGCTTTAAGGCAAAATAAGCTTTTCGGGCTCTGGAAGCAAGGTCATCACAAGCATGTTTTAAATTGCCATTTGATTTTAAAAATATACCAAGATATTTGTACTTATCAGTAATACTTATATAATTATTGTTATAAAAAAAAATGCATATTTCTTTATTTCTCTGGTCGAGCAAATCATAATCTTTGTTTTTTCTAAGTTTACATATAACTTCCATTCTATACAATATCTTGAAAGACTGTCCATACAATTTTGGAGACCTTTAGCTGACTCTGATAATAAAACAAGATCATCAGCAAAAAATAAATGATTTAAAGTTAAATCACCTAAACATGCTGGGTAAGTCATAACTTTATCAAAATAATTTTCAAAGTCGTCAACAAAAATAATAAATAAAATAGAACTAAAATTGTCCCCTTTTTAAGTCCTAATGAAGTATCATAAAACTCACTATAAAAAATTTCCTGTCTTACAACACATTTTGTAGTAGAGTACATATGTTTTATAATATTGAAAAAATTTCTACCAATACCTTTTTTTTAAAATCTTATACATAAGAGCTGGTCTATATCCAGAATATATCAAAAGCTTCTGAGAAATCAACATAGCACAAAAATAATTCCTTCTTTTTATTAAACAGATACTTGTTAATAAAAGTTTTGAGGATGACAACATTATCTGTTGTACGATATCCTTTCCTAAATCCTGCCTGAAAACAACTTAACAACCCTTCTGATTCTAAATTATTATTAAGTCGTGTTTGAAGGAGTCTATTAAAAAGTTTACCGAAACGACTTGTTACACTTAATGCTCTATAGTTATTGCAATTTCCTGGATCTCCAGATTTGTACAAAGTTGTGATAAATGAGAAGTTCCATTATTCTGGTATTCTGAAGAATTTTATTAAAATGTTTAACCAGTATAGGCACGAAAATATTAGAACTAATTTTTAATAAATTCATTTGGAATAAGATCTAAACCGGAGCTTTTTCAGATTTCAAGCTGGATATTCCTATTTGCACTTCTTTAGGTGTAAATAGAGAGTCTAGTGGTTTGTTTTTGTCAACTTCACAATTAATATCCATACCTATGCCATGTTCGTTAGAATTTAATAGAGTATGAAAATGGTCAACCCACTAAGATATATTAATGGGTGACTCTGGCTCAACCTGATTTTGCATGTTTGACTTTAAACTTTTTGTACTCTGTGCAAGCACTTTTCTGAACTTCAAATGTATGACGTCATAATTGAAAATGACGTCAAGTTACTGCACACTTGAACTGTAATGATGTTGAGAGTGTCATACAAGTAAAAAATTTTCAATCAGCAATTCTAGTTTAAAATAAACGTGTTTTAATTTATTTTTCAAAAATCTTATATATCCAAACAATCTAGACAACTTTGCTTTATTACTCTCGTTTAAGAGTCAGCGTGTCCAAATTTAAAAACGTGCGAAAATATACGTTTGACATTTACCTTTTTTTGTACCCGTGGACAGAGGCAGAATTCATAATATGTGTATAATAGAGCCTGACGCAGGTTATTAATGAGGATTTATTTAATATCTTTTGTGAAAATATGTATGAGGAGTTTCCTCTCTAACTGAATCCTGCTTGAGAAAAATGTATGATGGCTTTGTTTTAAAAGAGATGACGATATTCAGCGGAAAATACCCTTAGATTTGTCGGTAAGTTGAAGTTAATGTGAAATATTTTGTACCAAAGAAATAGTTGAACTTTTCCCTAGCACATTTCGGGTTCACAAGGTTGCAACATTTTGGTCCAAGAGACAAGGAGTTTATTTATGTGGCAAAAAATTGATAATAATTTGTTAATAACCTTCGCAGAAACGATTTATGTGAAACTTCCAAAAAAGAAAAAAAAAACGTCACATGATCAACAAGGTCATTACCGGCCGCCAGGAGGCGGTCGGTTACTTGATTGATTGATTGATTGTATATTGTTTAGCGTCCCTCTTGAGAATTTTTGCACTCATATGGAGACGTCACCGTATGCCGGTGAATTTAAACCCATACTCGGCACTCAGGTCCATTGAGCAGTGAGGGTTCTTTATCGTGCCAACGCCTACCGTGACACGGGACCTACGTTTATAAGGTCATATCAAAAAGACCCGTGACTTTCACTTCTAGTACCGAGCGCTTGGCGAAGGAACAGTCACTACCTTTGTTAACGTCTTAGGTATGACGCGGCGCCGCGATCGAGAATCGAACCCGGGCCTCCCGATCACAAAGCGAACGCTCTACCACTAGGCTACCGTGACCGGTTGGTCGGTTACTTGATATGAAAGTTTGAAGTCGACCTGCGTTTCTGCGGAGTTACTACAATTTAAATAAAAATATTTAACGTTCATATTATAGATTTTTAAACAAAGATATTTTTTAATGTTAAACAAAAAGCACAATTATCATAAAATTAAAATCTTATTAAAAAGGGGGTAAGTATTTCATCCAATCCTGATTGACATACTCCGACATGATTGAAGTGCAATGAAGTTATATGTAGGCATAGTCTAAAACAAAGACAGCTGTGTAAATCAACAATTTTACTTTCTCTGTTTAAACAGCCTTAACGGGATTTGTTGTATTTATTTTGAAATGACGTGTATATTTATACATTTTCTATGGAAATTTTTCAAAATTTCATGAAATATTTATTTCTTAAAAAGCACAAAATCT